ACTAAAAAAAACTTTTTCTTTTAATTAATTAATTAATTAGTAAATTAGGTTTAATTTGAATTAATTGCAAAAAGGACCAAAATTCCATTCTTTCTCAAAAAAGGGTCAAAACTCTAAAAACTTTTCCCGATTCAATTTCTTTTCGCGCATATTATTTTTGATCATATTTATGTAATTGCTTCGAGAATGTAATAGCGTAATTAGGACCTCTTTTATCGCTTTCTTTTATTTTCTCGCATTTATTTTTAAGGGTTATGTTTTTGGCGATGTAAATACCTGACGCCTTGTAAAAGCGTAGATTTACTTTCCGCAATTTATTTTCCGCACAATTATTAACTGTTAATTATGCATGACAAGACTTGTATGAAAAATAAAATCGACCCGTAGCTCACAATAATGCATGCAAAGACACTTTAACATGAAACCTGACACACGTGCACTTGCCACTCCTAGGGTAAGCCTCACTTGGTTGCCTCGAGGTGGTCATCAAGTATAGGGTGTTTTAGAGGTCGCCCTCCTGTCTAAAGATCCAAGTTGCCTCGAAACGGTTGCCTCGAATAAAAAAGGATCTAGGACATTAGGGTTACTGCTAAGGCGTCCTACTATTGCTTTGGTGACCACACATGTCCCTATAATTGAATTGACCCGAATAACTCCAACGACGGTGCTACCTACTTCTGAATAGTGGGATAGTACTGTCTAAAGGATTTCTACACAGCTTAATTCCTTAGAGTAGGTAGATTTCTCCTAGGTACTTGCTCTTTCAAAACAAAAACTACTTTTCGCACCTACACTTTTCTGACAAAAGTTTTCAAACAAATACTTCATACACTCTTGAGGACTGATACAAGAGTTGCCTAGAAGTTTTCAAAACAAACTTTTTCAAAACCCACAAACACAAGAAAAGCAAACATTTTTGAAAACATAGTGAGCAAGTACCTAAGAGCCCGTGGATAACCACGGATAGAAAGGGTGCTAACACCTTCCCTTTCTATAAATCTACCTCCCGAACCGAGAAACATCTCGAAAAGGAATTTTGCTGTGCTTTTGTCCTTTCCATGTTGGAGAACATAAAAGACGGTGGCGACTCTTGATTACCGCGACATTTCGCGAACCAGCTTTAAAAACAGTCAGTTCTATTTCCACCGATCACACACGTGTCTCAACTTCGGAAGTATATTTCAGATCCATCTCATGTGATTCACATGGACGATGTGCAAGTACGAGATAATCTTATGGTGGAAACGATGCCTGTACGGATCGCGTATCGTGAAATGAAGACTCTGAGGGGCAAAGAGATTGTCTTGGCTAAAGTGGTTTGGCTAAGAGCTGCCGATGAAAGCATGACTTGGGAGTTGGAGAGCAAGATGCGAGACTCCTACCTTGAGTTTTTTGATTAAGGTAAATTTTTAAGGACGAAAATATTCTAAGTGGGGGAGAGTTGTAATGCCCGTAATTTAATTAATTATTTAATTAAATTATTTTTTGGAATATTTGAGAAGATGTGTTGTGATTAATTGGATTTAATTATTTTATTAAGTGGAGAAATAATATTAGAAGCATAATATTATGTGGTGTGGGCTTATTTTGAAGGAAATAGAAGTAATAAGGGGGGTGTATTAGTTTTGAGCCCAATAAGGAATAAAGAGAATAATAGGTTATTTTATTGTTGTTAGAAAGAACAGAAAAGAAAGAAGCAGTAGAAGAATAAGGATTGAGAAGGAGAACGTGAAGCTGCTGTAAGAGAGGAAAACGGCAGAACGAGGATTCGACTGGAAGATTATAGAGCGACCTTCAATCCAAGGTAAGGGTGGGGTTCTGACTCTATAATTGGGTTCATGATGATTGGTATGTGGGGTTAGAGGTGATTGTTGTCTCGTTCTTGAATTGAATTTATATGATGATGTATGATGAAGAATTGATGAATTTTAGATGAATAATGATGTCCCGATGTTGTTTAATCGATGTAGAATCATAGGATAACTGTAAGTAATGATTTATCATGATTAGATTAAGTTTTTAGGGCTAAATGTATGAATCCTTTAGTTAAAATGTTGAGGAAATCGCAGAATTTATGCAGGATGGAACATGATGTGTCGACCTCAAACATGATGTGTCGATACATGAGGGCTTAGAGACTTAGTATGAGTCGACACGAAGAGACTTGCGTCAATACATGAAGATTGAAAGACTCAGGATGAGTCGATACGTAGGATGCATGTGTCAATACATGCTATGTGCAAGACTCAGGATGAGTCGATCCATGAGAGGATGCATCGACTCATGTTGTGAAATTAGAGCAGTACACATTGATCCAAGGGGTTATGCGTCGAGCCATATTGTCTGATTTTTGCAGATTCAGTTTTAAAGTGTTGTAACTTGAGTTTTAGAATGCCGTTTGAGATGTCGTTCGAAGCGTTGAATAGCTAACACGATGAACTTTATTATAGAGGATTAAAATGAAGAATAGGAAGTGTAATCCTAGTAGCCAATTTAGGATTTAGAGTTAGCTCCCGTGTTGATCGTTGCGTTGGTTTTGTGCAGAATGATGAAGATGAGATGCTTGGAGGCTGTTGTTTGAATTATAACAGTAGGATTAGTGATATTGCTGATGTAAGATTACAGAATAGCAGTATGAATTACTGTAGTATTGATGTACAACTGAGTTGTTGATGAGAAGTTATTAATGATGTTGTGTTGATGATTTATAATAAATAAACGATGTTTGATAAATTATTATGGATGATATGAGATGTTGATGAAGATATGTTAAGATGCTTTTGAGATATAGGCCTTTGGCCAATGATGGTGTTGCATTGAGATGTTGTTAATTTTGGTGTTGTTATTACATTCATGATTGTGTTGCATACATTGCATTTGAGATAGAGCTTATGCTCGTTGAGATGGCCTGTATTGGCGAATTTTGAGATGAAGGCTTATGCCTTGTTGATGCCTCTATTAATTGGAAATTTTTTGAGATGGGAGTTCTGCTCCAATGGTACCACATGCATTTGCATAGTATTGAGTCGCGTTATTTAATTGCATAAAGAAGTGTGTAATGAGGTGGTGAATGCGTATTATTGTTGATTATGAGATGAGAAGTGGTGATGTCATGTGATCTAATTTAATATATTAATTATCATGCGCTTTATTATATTGTTAGATATCTCACCCCTTCTGTTTGAATGTTGCCCTTATATTTTTAACGTGCAGGTAATCGAGAGTGCAGGCTGTATGCCTTCAATATTTTGAGTCGGTGTCAATTCTCTAATATGTATTACTCGGGGGGATGAACGCCTACTGTTTTTGATAGTTGATTATTATTAAGTATTTGTTGGTTTGAAGTTGTTGTAGTGATGATAAAGATGTTATTAAGAATTCCGCTGCGTAGATGTTGAATTATTTAATTAAAGATGTCACGATGATGGTTCATCTGATGTTTTAAAAGTGTTATATATCCATGATGAATGTAATGAATTTTGATAGAAGAATTTGTGGCATCCCGATTCGTTTGCATGAATGATTTTTATAACTTTGATTTATTTATATAATTGTCGGGGGGTAGAATTGGGGTGTTAAAGTTATCATCTTCATCAAGGGCATGATCATTAGAGTTCCACTAAAGGTTTAAGTAAAGACTTTATGATTTAAGGCCTCATCATGGATAAGGGTTTGTTTGATTACCTGTTGAACAAGTTAAATATTGGATAATCTTTTTATCAATTCATCATAAGAGAGGAGGTGTTGACTAAGAGTGGCTCATTCTCCATTAATACTCGACCATGGTTCCATTGTTAGAAGCATACATGGGACTTTGTGGAATTATTAAGGCATTAGAGAAGGAAAATTGAATTTCAAATTTGAAAAGGAGGGACACCTTTTATTCCATATTACTTGGTTGACAAAGTCAACACCAAAATCCGAAGTTCATTCAAAGTTGCAAATGCAAAAAGCTATTACAAAAAGACTGGGAGAAAAATGATCTGACTTTATTCAAACTTTGTTCATTACAAGGATAGAAGTCATTGCACTTTCATACATTTGCCATTTACCTCAATACCATTACATTGGAAAATTACAGAAAAATTCTATTGTTGACATGGAAATTTTTTTGATCTAATACCTAAAAAACTCATCCTTCAACATCCCTCCAAGTCTTCATTGATTTAACTCCATTTGTCTCCATGTTCCTACAATTCTTAAAAATTCTTCTTCACTTACAAGCAACCTTGCAGCCAAATTCCTTCAATTAACCTCATCAGCTGACATGCATCACAGACAACAACAAAAAATCACTTATACATATGCAGCCCTGCAATCTACAATTGAAGCTGCAACCTATGTTCTAAGTCATACATTAGAGTTCAAAATCTCATTTAAATACTAACATCACCAAACTTGCAGCACCAATGCAATAAAAATGGAAAGATACCAAGTCAATCTGCACCTTCGCCCCATGAAATCCATGCCTAAAAACATTCTAAAATCATTACTGATGCAGATGCGAAAGTAGACTTGCAGAACATAACCTATGCATTATTTTGTTCAGCAGGTAACACCAAGTTGGTCATGAGCAAGCAATCCACATTTTGATAAGCCTGCAAGATCAAAAGACAATACAGTTACATTGACACCCTAAGCATGATGCAAAGCAAAGCCAGAATTCATGTGAAGCAAGGTAAATCAAACTTAGGATAAGAAAGAGAAAAAAAGATGAGTTGAGAGCATATAATTAACATAGCTTCTAAAACCGATTCAACACTATCAGTTTAAGCAAAAAAATAGAATCACAAATTTTCATAACTGAAAAACAAAAGCCTAACTGTCAAAAAACCAAAACTGACATAACAGTTAATAGAACTGGAAGTTAACCACCAACTAACTTGACCCACTGAGTCACTCAACCTAACTAACAGAGTCCAAGCTAATTAACTAACTATAATAGCTGTAATGTTCACCCTCCATTCCAGGACAAACTTCTCGAGATCCAATGGGCTTTCATGGCTCAATCTCTAACTGATTTCGGATTCCTCTTCATCTTCCATAATCCTCTTTATCATTTTCCACCAACAACGGCAACCACTTCATATCTTTATCACATCTGTGATCTTCCACCGCACATCACCTTCACTATCTTCAACCTTCATCCACAACCACCTTCAACGGTTTTTCTCCACCATCATTCTTCACAATAACTCTCCTCACTCACTGATTTGACATCACAAACCCTCTGTTTCTCAAACTTTCAACAACATCGCAATTCAACAATAATGCATGACATAAATTCAGAAACACTGAGAGATGTAGAAGAAGAAGACGAAGACAAGAGGAAAAAGGAATCTGTAGAAAGAAAGGGAAAGAAGCACTCACCTAAAGCGTTCGTAACCATTATATCTGATTTTCTTGTAATTTCGTCTCCTGTGAAGAATCGTCGGAGCACCTCTGACAGGTAAGCCTATGATCTCCATCATCTCTTCATCTTCTGCATCGAATTTGTTATCACACCATAAGTTTCTGTCTGCTGAATCTTAGCCTTAACATTTTGAGCTACGAATCTTCATCATCACTGCTTGAACTCTGTTTGAAGATCTAGGGTTAGAAAAAGATTTAGGATCAGAGGTGGATCTTGGACTCAAACGAAACTGAAGGTGAGCTTACGAGGATGAGACAAATCCGATGGTTTGAAGGATGAGGTCGAAGCGATGTTGTGTGGCAGTCGGATTTGTCATAGTGACGCTGTTGTGGTGAACCAGATCGAAGAGGATTCCTCCGTGTTGTCTAAGCAAGAGAGAAAAAGTAGTGTTCATCGCTGAATCTCAATCGTCACAAAAGGGAATCCTGATAACATGAGCCAAGCACTGTCGTTTTTCTATATACCTTTTTCTCCCCTAATTTATTTTAATATTATTAATTCAGTATGTTAAGAAATGAAATAAAAAAATCTATAACAAATGATGTTGAAATCTGGGTAATGGGATAGGCTTCCGAATGGCATCCTCTCTATATCTCAACATCATGTTTTTGGTAGAATCCAAAAAAGGTGACTTGGACTCAGCCTAACAGGGCAGCGCCCAAACTTATTGGGCCTAACACACTGGCTTCTATCACACTCCCTGGACTCAAATCAGCACCCCCTAAGTTTGCTAATTCTTCATTAGAATTAGGACTTTTTTGTTTGTTAATTTTCGCCAATAAAATACATGATAAAATAATATAAAAACATTAATAAAGATATAGTAGAATATAATAGAAATTTTTGGAATTAATTCTCTAGTTTTTTTTTAGAATTTTCCTTACATTAGAAATTAATAAAAATACTTTTTCTTTCTTGTTTTCATCCGTATTTTCATGCTACTTTGCTATGTTATTTTTGACGCATTTGTTCATTGTGCAAGGTACATTTTTATGCTTTTGATCATGTGACATAATGATTTGTCATGTGATCGAGGCATATGGCTTATGCTCACCTCTGATGTGACGTGCCTTATTTTTCATCGTCCTGAGAAATTCATATCGTATTTTATGTTGTCCTGATGCATGTGATAGTATATGATGCTTTATGCAGAAACTTCTGATTACACGTTGCATTCGTAACACGCGTTTGCTTTTATCTTAGTTAGATATTGTTTCTGACTTTGTTTGTTTCTTGGTAAAGCTTGCTCGACACGTACTCCCTACTTCTCCATTGCTTTAATCCGCTTTTGACGATTTGCTCGCTTTTGGTGGTCGCCGCTACTACCTTCGTACTTCTTCGCACTTTACTGTAATCCCTTACGGCTTTTCTAGATATCATGAGAAATAGGACTTTACTGCTTTCTGATGCCATGAGAAGTAGGAATAGAGATGTATGACAGGAGTCTTTGTTGCTAATCATGTCAGGAACCCCTCTGGTTTATTTAAAGACTTGTTTAGGGCAATTCCGCACTGTGTGCATTTCATGTGCTAATTGTGTGTGGTTTGTTTAAAACCCCACCTTTGTGTAGGTATTCTGTAGGTGTGTTTATATTTGTTCTCGCATATGTACAAATGATAAGTCCCCAAAAAGAGGCGAGCAGGGAGGGTTAGCATTCAACCCCCGCAATTTCGTCTGTGTCATCCTTAGCTCGTGACGCACCACGAAGCTTCGGGGTTGTGCCTACTCTTGTGTATAGATTCGTTAAGTAGGGAAGGGTTCCATAATCGAAACCCTATGCTTTGTCAAGAGTTTGCATTGGCTGATGCTGATACTCCGGGATTGGTCATATAGTCTTATGTCGCCTACCTCGATCTCCTATATCTTGGTTAGATGTTCAATCACTTTGGATGTTACATTTTTCTTTCATCTCACTCCCGCTTGTTTGTCTCGGGTGATACACTCCCCTTGACTAAAGCATTTCATTTATTTTCCTTACTCTTTTATGTGTGTGCTTCTTCAAGCTTGCTTGTTTTATCCTTGCACATACCATGTACCCTTAGGATGCACTTGCTCTTTTTAGATGCAAGTTAGACCTTAGGTTACAAGCCATGCATGCTAACATTAGGTAGACATTTCCCTTTCGTTAATCCAAATCATAGGACCACCATTGTATGATAACATTAGGTTAGAAATAGGCTAATCTCCCTTTAGACTCTTTTCTTCCCTTTTTGCATATGCATCTAAAACTAAATCCTTTTCTTAGTAAATCATAAAACACGCTAATCTAACTCGAAACCCTTTTTCAAGGTAACAAAACACAAACTAATAAAGTGCGACATCTTGCCTGGAGGGTGTAACTCGAAACCATTTTGAGGCAAGGACATGATTAATTTACTTCTATGCTAACGCGTGAGTCTCCAGAGGTCGAGCTGTAGTAGAAGGCGAAATTTACATTGTTCATAAAAAAACATAAATCAAACAATATCATGTTAGCTGAACTACGGTAGCTCTGATTACTCAAAAAGGATACATAGGCATTGGGGTAGGGCCCAAGCGAGTACACCTTTATTTTCCCTACATTTTTTTCTCCTTTCTTTTGCATGAATTCTCCCTTTAGCAGTAGCAAACCGTTGTGATACGGTTGGAAGGCTGATTTGAGGGTTTTGCGTTTTATCGCAAATGTTGCGGTTAGTAAGAGTCGCCACCGACTTTTCTTTTATCCAAAAGGAAAGGTGAAAAAGCACACGAAAGACCTTTGAGATTGTTTCTTGAGTTCAGGGGGTAGATTATGAAAAGGGAAGGTATTAGCACCCTTTTCATCCATGGTTTTCCATGGGCTTTTAGTTACGTTTCTAGATCACTTGCTTTTGTTTGAAATTTTGCTTTGTGTGGTTTTTGAAAGTATTTTGTAAAAGAGGTCATTGTTTGGGCAATCTTTGTAATGATTCTCGTTCGTAAGAATGTATACAAAGATGTTGATCTTTTGAAAAAGGTTTTCAATTTTGTAAGATGTTTTGAAAGTATGTGTGATTGTTTTGAAAATAGCAAGGACGTTTGTTTTGAAATGGAGCAAGTAATTAGGAGAAATTTAGCTACTCAAAATGTCTTTCTTGTTCATTTTCTCTTCCTTTGACATTGTAGTCTTACCATTAATTTGGTAAGCAACCCTATCTTTGGATGTAAACGGGACGGGCGTGGGTCATCGTATAGCCATGATTAACAATGTTGCAAGGTATCTTAGCATTCTTTTTGAGGGACTAAGATCATTTGTAAGGCAACTTTGAATAGCGTCATCGAGGGACTATGATCTTGTATTTGTTGGTTTTTGCTAAGATACCTTACATGCGTAATATGGTCGTTTTGTAAGGCAACCAAGTGGATTTTACCCTAGGGGTGCTTGTGTAAAAGTGTGTTGTTTTCATGCTTATTTTTGTCTCAGATTAGGGTTTTCTATTTGATTGATTTTTATTCTTTCCATACAAACCCTAATTACTAGCATATTATGTAAAAGCGATAAATTGCGAAATTTAAAGTTACTACGCTATTACAACACTTGTGGGAGGGGGGTATACAATTTATGAATGGGGATTGCAATAATATAAACCTAATTAATCTATTACAACCAAATTGAATATTGTACAAATAATTGAAGAAATATATAAAGTACAAATGCAAATTGAAAGAAATGATTTTTGTTTTATGTTTGGATTTTTATATGAAAGAGGTTTTAACCTAAAACTAATTAGAGAAAAAATAATAATTAGATTAATTTAAATTAAATAAGTAGAGAAATTAATAAGAAGATAATTTTTTAGACAAAACCCTAATTCTATTTAATTGATTAAAAGAAAATAAGTTTAAAGAAAAAAAGTATTTTTTGTATTTTTGTCTTGAAAATAATATGTGCTGTTATGAAATATTTTTGTTCTTTTTTTTATATTAAAAAAATATACTTAGATGAATAATAATATATTTTTAATTTAATTTACAAGGAAGCTAAATAAAGATAAATAAAGTATAATGAATAAAAAATATTTTTTAATGGAAACAAATTTAAATTATGTCAAAACATAAATCTATCATTTTTATATTTTTTAGGATTTTTTTGGTATTTTTAGAAAATATATTTATAAATAAATAAATATAAAATGGGCCAAGGGAGTGTCATAAGTAACCAGGTGGTTAGTCAGCAAAAAAAAAAAAAAAAGAAGAAATCCAGGCCCAAAGGGCCCAGCGCCTGCAAACAAAAATAAAAAAAATGTCAAAATATGAAAAGAAAAAAAAGCAAAAATGGTCACGCTGGGGCTTTAACCCAGGACCATAGGGTGAACAGGCGCATGTTTACCACTGGGGTGGCTATACATCTAATTATATGAACAAAACAACAAATATATAAGGCAAATCAAATCTTGATAACTTCATCTTCAACCTCCAGCCAGTGTACCTGTAACTTCTTTATTTCTCAACAAAAATGGAAGATGACAAAATGAAAGTTGTTGCATTTCTCCTCACGAATCTAACCATGTAAATAACTAAGGCTAAAAGTCAAAGACAGGTGAGAATTTCTCTGGCCCTAATTTAAACCCTAAAAATCTCATAAACTTCAACTCTAAAATTCTCTAAGCTTAGGCCATATAAATGCAAACTATGGATATGTACAACTTTGTGGAAATAAGGTCTACATTTTATCTTCACAAATGCAAGCCTAACAATGGCTTAAGTAATGAGATAGAAGTTCAAGAAAAATACCTCAAAACTGGAAATCATGAAATGCAAATGAGCTTGTTTCAGGCAGTGCCGATGATCAGGTTAGCTTCCTTGGACCTCTAGGAAGCTAATGCAATGGCTGGCTTGAGCTGAGGATGGTTGGAAAGGCCCGGAGAAGTCCAACTGTGATGTTCTGTTTTTGGTTACGGAAGATAGAGAAAATGGTGTTATAGAAATGAAACAGGTACAAGGATGAGTTACTCTTGATGCAGGGAAGCTTTAGAAACTAAAAGGCCAAGAAACACATGAGGGAAATGTGAGTTTGGTATGTAAAGTTAAAACTTGCACAACAATGGTGTTTTGAGACAATTTCAGGCTAGAGGGAGTTTAAGTGAGTGTCAGGGTATTTTTTGCTCGTGTGTCATCTTGCAAATAGTGTGTATACCTATAAGCAAGAGGTTTTGAGGCTTGTAACAACTCAGAATTTAAATTTGCATCCTTAAGCCAAACATGTGATTTTTGAGAAAACAAGTTTCAATGCTTATGTACTTGCTCAGATAGAGTGGTTAAGCTTTAAACACACTTGCTTCTGACTTTGTAGATGAAGTTTGATCAGAGGGAACAAGTTTGAGGCTCAAGAGTGGACTTTATGCAAAAAGCTTGCTTGACAAGAATGGTATTGTTAGCTTTCTTCCCAAAATGGCA